TGAAGTATTTGATGAATCCTTAAAAGCTGTTTGCTCATGTTCCTCATTACAGCAATCTCTGAATGATTTTAGGGCTTTCAAAACAGATTATCCCTTTTTGTCCTTCTGCCTTTGCTTCTTCATGACCATTGAGAAAGGTTAATGAGTGACTTAGTGATTATTACATATTTCTTCTCAAAATTTTAATAGTAGCCATATAATTGTAGAAAAGTCTTTAGCTCCCAGAAATTCTTTGAATAAGGCCAGGTGTCAAGTGCTTCTGTTTTCTCTGGTCATTGCTCATTTTTCACTCTGAAGGACCACATGATTGACATAATTTTCAGAGGCTCTAAAGAATCAGCGCTTGTCAATTTACAACTTTAGAATGCTGGCTACTAGCTGATCCAACACTTTGTATAGCCTTTCCTCATGCTCTTCTAGTGATTTTACATAAATGATGAGATCATCCAGATGTATCAACAGCTCCAGACAATTCATGTCACAAGCTACTATTTCCATGACTACTAAAAAAGTAGTGGATGCCTCCTAAATTCATCAGCCCATATGTTTAAACTGGTAGGAACCTACTGAATAGATGAAGGCCATCTTTTTCCATGAGAACTCATAATATGTTAACTCCCTGCCCATGCTCATCAGTCTGATATTCTGCTAAGATTTATAGGCCTCATTCCTTTTATCACCACTTTCTGGAGTAGCCTTTTCAAATGTCATAATATTTGGAGGCCTTCTCTCTTTCATGTTGAATAGTATCAAAGGACTGTAATTAGATATCCTGCATACTCTCAGTGCTGCCAAAATGTCCATCTAACCATGACAGGAGCACTAATACCATGACCTTGGGATGCTTCATGTTTTGTTTTTTTAAGAGGTCATATGAGATCAAAAGCACTAATGAAATAGGAACTTTCAACATGGAATTCTGAACCAGCCACAACCAGTCCTCTCCCTCAATTCCCAATTTGTCCCAAGCCGAGTAGAGGGAGAAGGGCTCCTTGGGTGCCGCAGCATCATAGCCTAGAATGACATAATGGAAAAGGTGCTAAATTTGGGACCCAAGACCCTGGGTCAAAGCCTGGCTGAGCTACTTTCTACATATGTAACCTTGGGTAAGTCACATCCCTTGTCTGGCCCTCAATCCATCAAATGAGGTCCCTCCCAACTCTGATGTCCTATAATCTCAAATCCCTTTCCTTCTCAAAGTTTCCTCAGTTCCTTATCAAATGGTGGTGATGGTGGTGGTGGTGATGGTGATGGTGGTGGTAATGTAAATGTAATTATTGTGTGTTGACTCAGTTTGGTGATATTCATCTTGCTCTTGTGTTTTAATTGAATTCCTTCTCCTTTAGACTCATGTCTTATATGGTGCTTAATCATGCATTTGCCCCTGCTATCAGTTAGCCAAGGATAAATGGGGAAGTTCAGGAAGGAATGAACCAGTTTCACAAGATTTACATCCACTGATAGCATACAAACTGGTGGAAAGTGCAGACTTTCAACTTGACTTACAATACCTCTTGGGTATTTCATTAACTTTCTGACCTTTTCTGTATTAATCCTCTGACACTTTTGCATTACTTTGGTGGCATGTCCTACAAAGAATACAAAGGACTCATCCTCTCTTCTTGGATGGGGATGTCCTTTTGAATAGAAATGTGATTTCCCATTTTGTGTCCCTTGCAGTAATAACAAGTTATTGTCACAGGGTCATCAGTTGCTAATGAAGGTGTGGATGCCAGGGCTCTATTGAGAGTGATGTTTGTACTGAATCATGAGCTACTGAGGATTGTGTTGCCCAAATCTATAGCAGAAATTTTACTTCATTCTAAATCACTCCTTTTGGCAGAAATCCTTTAAATGTTTTCATTATTTCTTGGTCAGGAATGGCAAAGAGTAGAGAAATGTCAGAGTTAATAACTAGTTCCTAAGAGTTCCATTTGTTATTGAAAGTTTTATCTTTGGGGATGTTATAATGTTCCACTGTATAAGACTGTATGCATAATAAAGCTACTGCTTTATCTCCATTACTTTGTCTCTTTATTCTCTCAGAGTTCACAGAATGGCATTACCATTACAATCAATAGGTTTCACCAAAACCAAAAATGTCCAGTGAATGTCAAGTCTCATTCCTGAGCATCAGTTCTTTTTGCCATGGTGGCTATTTAGCCTCCATCAGATAGGCAGGATACAGTGACGGTTCCACAATATCACTTCAGAAATAAACAACAAAATGTCAGTGGCATTTTGTGACACAACAATATGTCATCACTTGAGTAAGCTAGTCTGATATTTAGGAATTTTCACTGGGAAGCTTTGTAGTCAGATATAGTCTTTTAAAAAAGATTTGGAGGATGAAAGCAAAAAACATTAAATGTATGCTTGTAATACAAAGGGAGGTAACCTTAGCTTGACTTAATACTCAGTCTTAACTTGATAAAAAGAAAATAACAGAGAAGCCAGAAACAGATTATGGGCCCTTCTTAGGTCTCCATGCGGCTGGAACTCCTCAGAACTTCCTAGCTTTCTGATACTGTTTTTTTCTCTCTTTCCCTCTATCTCTTTCTGTCTCTCCCCCTCTCTTTCTCTCTCACATACACACGTATATTCATATACTTATTATTTATTCAAATCCATAGTGATCAACCCACAATCCAGTGAATCAGTATGCCTGCTAAAACCCAATAACACAACTTCAATGCAAAATGGAATTTAATCAAAAGATAATAATGCATTAAATAACAGAATTGTGTCAAGGATCAAAGATTTTCAGTAGATACACCAAACAACTGCCAACTAGCTCTATTGATCACTTCCCTCTCTGTCAGAGTGCTGAAGTTCTAGCTGTAGGCTTATCTCAGCTATCTATCAGTTATCTAGTGATATCTGTCATACTCTCCAGATTGTCTTCTGGGTAGTGCCATGAACTTCCCAGGAACCAGAAAAGAAGCTTCTCTCTGCATCTCTCCATGTCTCTTCATTTTTAAAATTTTGCTACAGGCTCTCCTCTTCAGCTCTCATAATTTTACCTTTTACCATGCCCCAAGTGACTCTATTCTTTCTTAAAACTGGGCATACTGGAAATGTACCCATCCAATTAGAAGATGTGAGGGGTGACATCACCACACTGTGAAGATGATGCACTGTCTTGTAGGAGAGGTAGTTCTCAGAGAATTTTTCCCAATGGACCAGGTTTTCTTGACCCAAATGAAATTTGGGATATGTTAACTGTGAAAATTTGGTATGTGTTTGCTTTTGCATGTCTGTGAATTCTAGGCTGATGATTGAATTAAAAAAAAAATTTACAGGGGCAGCTAGGTGGTACAGTGGATAGAGCACCGGCCCTGAAGTCAGGAGGATTTGAGTTCAAATCTGGCCTCAGACCAAACACTTGACATGTACTAGCTGTGTGACCTTGGGCAAGTCACTTAACCCCAATTGCCTCACTAAGAAAAAAAATACATTTACAGTAATCAAGAGTATAGTAACTTTCTAAACTGTTCTGTTGAATTTGGCAAAGTTCTAATCTTCATGGAATTAAAATTTTACCTGAAAGAATGAAGAAAGAAAACAGAATAGTTTGCATTGAGATCTTTCCCCCTTATTTTAAATACCGTCTCCACTCTGCAACTTTTGAAGTTAATTTTTTTAATGGATTTCAGAAGATTGAATTGTTAGTAAAAGAAAGCTTTTGTGGGGAAATAGCAACTTGAGTATCATTGCACATTTCTTCATGATGCCCTGCCTTGTACTTTTGGCTTGTAGTTATGTATGGTATTTTGTTATTTCAAATATGGAAATGCACTAGTCATATTGAATTATATTCTGATAGTATGCATTTAAGGTGATTTACATGTGAATGTAAATTAATGATAAATATTATCTTGCTTATTTAAAGTAGCCTTCAAATGTTATTAATATTAAATGATAAAACTAGTTAATATCACTTTGGTTTTATTCTTATAGATTTTAATTTAGAAAGTCTCTTCTATGTGTCAATGTTACTTGAATAAGCCATGGGAGAATTACATTGCAGCACTGGTGGATACAGAATGATTCTTTTAGACACCAAGACTAATAATTTTTAACAATATCTAAAAACATTGTGGGAAAAACTTGAACCATGCTGGCACCAGGGACAGACAGGCATGAAAGATTCATGTAATCTTGCATATAATGATGCACATTCTTACACAAAAAATCCATCTGCAAGTGTCATGTCAGTCAGCAGAAATCTTTGATGGGTGGATACAGCTGGGCTGTCTCTTCTGGCAAAGCTGCCCTGGAAAATGCTAAATGTGGTTATGATGTTTTGTGCCATCTGCAGTATGCCAGTTTATCGTGTCTTTACTGGCATTTACAATATTACATAGGGCATCAACAACCACAGGCACAGCAATGTAGAGTGACAGATTCATTTCCTCTAGAGGCTACAGACACTGCACCACCATCATCACCCTCCTCCTCCTCCTTGCATTAGAACCTATTGTTACTGGTATTTGGCTTTATTTTCCATTTCCTCATTCAGCTTCAATCAGTTCCAGATACATACATTTTTCTTTAGTATGTTAATCTTATATGAAAAATTCAGCTAAATTATTCATTTAAGAACCACCAACATAATTTGATATTTTCTGTTAGTTGCCAACTAAACATGCCTTGTTTTTAAATACTACTGGTGTTAATTTTATTAGATATAAAGTAAACACTTCTTAATTTAGGGTACACTAAGTGGGCTAACAACAAGGTAAATTAGAAAGATGCTAGGTTTGGGGTAACACCAAATGATTTCTTTAGTTGAATCAATATAGAATGATATTTTTTATAAAACTATAAAACAAGGAAATCCCAGAGAGTATTTTCCCATGATTAAAATGTATTCAGGAATAAATTTTGTTTTATTGCTTTACCATATGTTTATCTTAACATTGTGCCAGACCAAGTTAAATGGTGTTAAATACATTTAATTTTAATTTTAAAAATATTTTCATGTGTTTTTTAAATAGTAACAGAATATAAAGGACATGCTCTGTCACTGCTAAAGGAATGTGAACTTCAAGAATTTGATGGGTAGGTTATGTTATTTTACATATAATAAATGATTCTTTTTATTATAGAATATTTTGGAGCTTTGACTTTTGAATATTTAAATCGAGAATCATGCTTATTTATATAATGATTATTGAACCATTTACTCTTGCCCAAGAAAGGGTCCATGGCATAATGGAACGAGACCAAGCCTCAAGTCAGAGAGACTTGGTTCAAGTCTCACCTGGGACACATACTGACTTTGTGACCATGGACAAGTCTCTTAATTAACCTTTCATTTCCCCTGGCAACAATCTAATACTATAAATTACAGTGCAGGTGCCAATTTATATAGGTAGAGTTTCCTAACAAGCATTTTCCTATTACAGTGAAATGATAGGACTTATTTAAGGGTGAAAAAGGGTTTTCTAGAAATCTAGAGCTATTGGTAAGGGGGATTTAGCATTTAGAAGTAGGAAAACAAAGTGTTTTTTTTTTCTCATGATGCTGTACACAGTGGCCCTATAAGCTACAAGCTTGGTTGTTTATTGCCAATGGATTTCCAAGGTATGGTGGGTGGGAGTATGTGATCTACCTCTCATATTAGTCAGTTAAGAAATTTATAGTAAGCTCCCACACAGTGCCAGGTACTATGCTAAGTACTGAGGATGCAAAGAAAGGCAAAAGATGGTCCTGCTCTAGGTACTTTATGTTAGGAAAAAACAAATTCACACAGCTAAAATAAAAAATAAATATAAAAGTAATATAATATAATAATATAACCTCCCTCTGTGCTCTCACAGTATTTTAATGTGGTTATCATATTTGACCTTGAGTGAATCTGTTCAGAGCTGGACCTTGAAGAATAGTGAATATTTTGACAAGGAGAGATGATGGTGAGGCAGGGGTATGATTTGAAGAGGGAGAAGCCATTCTGAGTAGAAAGAACAATATGACAAAGGCATGGGGGCTTCCTCATGCATGTAATCCAATTCCCTACCCCATATAGTGACAGAACATGTAATTACGTGTTTATAATTTTTGCCATAGAGGCGATATAGTATAGTGTGGATAGAGTGCTGTTCAAGAGCTTGAGTATTCAAATATGACTCAGACTCTTGGTTTGTGGCTACCAGCAAGTTACTTAACTTTTTTAGGTCTCTAGTAAGGCCTTAGTGCTTATCTCTTTGAGTAATAGAGTGGCATGATGGATGGAATTGGCATCAGGAAGACCAGATTTCTGATCCTGCCTGAGATGTTTTCTGAGTATGTGACCCTGAGCAAGTCATTTAATTTCTCTAAGCATGTTTCCTCCTCTGTATTAGTAGCATTTACCTCACAGCAAATATCAAATAAGATGATGTGTTAAAAAGCTTTGTGAATTAAGGGGAAAAAAGCAAAGGGCTGTAGGCAGAAAAGCACTGGGTAGGTCTGGGAAATAATAGATATCCCAGTGTAACTGGAGAACATGGAGCATGACAGGAGTGGTAAGAAATAAGTCTAAAAAGTTAGGTTGCAACCATATGATTAAGAATCTTGAATATCATGCTCAAAAGTTTAGTCTTTTTGTTTTTCTGTCCTGTGGGCACTAGAGGAGGGGATTGGAAAGTTTCTGAACCAGAGGGTGACATGATCACAACTGTCCTCGAAGAAGATTACTCTAGTAGCTGGTTGTGTGTTGGAAAGACTGGAGTGGAATAATACTATTTTCATTTTTTTGTTTTATTTTGTTTTTTGTTTTTTGTTTTTTTTTTGGTGAGGCAATTGGGGTTAAGTGACTTGCTCAGAGTCACACAGCTAGTGAGTGTTATGTGTCTGAGGCTGGATTTGAACTCAGGTCCTCCTGACTCCAGGGATAGTGCTGTATTCACTGTGCCACCTAGCTGCCCCAGAACAATACTGTTCAAGGAAAGCCAAAGCAAGAGGTTTTGAGGATGTTGAATTTATTATACATTTGAAAAAAAAAACAAGCTTTGCATAGCAGAGACTTGCAATTTCATTTACATTTTTCTTTTTCAATTCTACTAGGTATATAGAAGTTAAAATGAAATTCTTAAATAAAACCCCCTCAAAATAAGTAAGGAGGACTTGAATTGTGATTGTGAAAATGAAAAGAAAGGAATGAATGCAAAAATCCATTGTGGAGGTAGAGTCTGTAGGATTGGGCAACAGATTGGTTGTAGAGGCAAAAGAGGGAAGAAATCAAAGATAATTCTCTTAGGAGCTTTGTCTGTGTACTAAGGATGGTGAAGCCATTAACAGAGACAGGGAGGACAGGATGATGATCTAACTTAGGAGACAAGATGATGTTATTGGTTGTGGACAGAGTGAATAAAAGTATTTAATTATTTCCCACAAAAATACTTAAATAATTGTTCCTCTTGAACTGAATTCATTTGCATTGATTTTTAATTTTCATCATCTTGAAGTATCTTGATTTATTTAGTGCTTATAATCATTCAAAATCTGCAGCATATGTATCTTAATCTGATAAACCCCATCAATATAATATTTTTCCTTTCCTTTCATTTTGCTCAAACTCTGATATCACATTTAAACAGCCAGTAAATTTTGTCTTGTTTGTGTCCTATGTAAGAAGTTGTAATACTGGGAGTGATTAACTTAATGTAATGTCATTTTTAAACTCTTCTATTTGAAATTGATTTATGAGAGAAAATAATGAAAAATAATATTTTATTGTGCTTCCAAGGAATTAGAAATAATAATTAGAGGAAAATAAAAATCTTAAGGAGAATCTTAACAGATGAAGAGTGAAACCAAAAGTAAATGAATAGATGAAAACAACATATAAAAACACGTGGTGCATTTATGGATTATACATTAATTACTTTTTGCTATCTGATACTTCAATGAATCAAAAAATAAAGTACTTCAAAAATGTCATTTATGACAATGAGTATTATAAAAATTGATGGAAAAGAATATTTGGATAAAATAGCAAATATTCTCAAATAACTTTTAAGAGAATGAAGTTGTTAAGTTTCATTTGACATGAACTCAGTACACTATTTTTAATGGATTGCATAGAGAGACATTCGTGCATTTAGTATCAGTGTGTTTCTTTAAAATATAGAAGTTATATGCATTTTGACTACAGTCCCTCCCTTTTTTTGCATGAATTTTGGCTTTTGTAAATTGATAGATGTTTCACAGATTATTTTGCCTTGCAGTTCTTCAGGGTCTGTTTCTTTGTGACTGGTAATCAAAGCAAGAAGAGAGCAGAAAATTTTCTTGCATATTCCTTTGTCAAAAGGTCTGCATTTTATACACATACACACATATATACATATATATATATATACACACATCTATATGAGACATATATGTATACACACATATAAAAACATACACATAAAGCAATTCAAAGTTATTTTAAAGAAATAATTATAATAATAGCTAGGATTTATATGGCACTTAAAGTTTTAAAAGGCACTTTACAAATATTATCTTGTTTGAGCCTCACAACAGCCTTAGGAGATACTTGCTATTATTATCCCCATTTTACAAATGAGAAAAATGAGACAGACTGGAATTAAGTGACATGCTCAGGTTACACAGTTGCTAAATGGCCATATTTGAACCCTGGTCTTCCTGATTCTAAACCCATAGCTCTGGGGGAGATCTGGAAAAGCTTTATATTGATAACTGGAAGCACAGTGTATCCTCTGTAGAACTAGAGAAGTTTAGAGGAGGGATAGGATTTAAGGAAAATATGATTAACAAATCATCTGTAAGCATTTATTAAATGCCCATTATTTGTCAGGCCCTATGCTAAGAGTTGGTTATGAAGAGACAAAAAATGAAAAAAAATGAAAAAGCCCCTGCTCTCAAGGAGATCATGTTATGCTTTATGTGTGTGGACTTTAAGATACCTACAGGAAATCAGGTGAAGATACACAGCAGTTAGTTAATAATGCAGGATGGGTTCAGAAGTGAGATTAGGACTAGCTGTACAGACAAACATCTGCCTAAAAAGGATCCTTGAACACATAGGTGCTGATGAACTTTCCAAGAAAGAAGGTACAGAAAGAGAAAGTCACGGACTTTGTCTTGGGGGACACCTAAGTTGTAATGAATAGTATCTAACATCTGGCTGGGATTGTTGGGAAGAATACAGGACTCGGACATAAGAACCAAAGAGAACTGCAAGGAAGAGAAGCAGAGCTGGAGACCAATTAAGAAGAAAAATTAGAGTAAAACCTGAGAATAACATTGCTAAGACAGGGGAAAGGAAGTTGGGCACAGCTGTCAGGGTTAGCAGGTGACAGGAGGGTGCTAACTAGGTGAGAAGAATTCTCCAGGAAAGTTAGCCAAAAGAGCTAATACTGCTTAGTAACAGAAAGCTTGGAAAGTAGTGAGGGTTTTGTCAGGACTGTCATGGATTGAGCAGTTTGCTTTTATGCCATGGCCAAGTAATTGTTATCTACTCTTAAATTACAGACTGGTCTTTCTCCTGGAAAAGAGGGTAAAGTGGCTAGTATATCTCTCCAAATCATCATAGAGAATTAAATGTTACCTCAAAACAAAACCAAATCTGTAAGACAAGTTTTAGTGCAAAAATAAAGATAAAGGATTGGAAAAGGTATACAGAATCCTTGGCTTGAAAGGTGAAATAATGTCACACCCAGGAAAAAGGTGGGGGGAAATCAATAACCGTCTTGCAAAGTACTAGATATGAGGTTGTTCACAGAGGACAAAATTGTATCCTTCTCCGAGGATACAACTGCTCCACATTTAAAGCATTGAAACTCTTTAGAGGGAAGGGAGGAAAAGTAGGGAGAAGAGGAAAGGGAAGAGTCTGACTTACCTGATGACTGATTCATTAGAACTGTTCTCATAGACATTGGGGTTTATTACTGGCCTTAAATGGACCCTGTGAAATATTGACATAGCCCAGGAGCTCATCTCTAGCACAGGTGGCAGACCTTGTGTTCCCTCTCTCCCCCCTAAAAAAGAGCAAAGGTGACATTGTGACATTAGGTTTACTTATGACTCAAATTTCTGATTAACTCAACTTTCCT